ATAGTGGAGCGGCCCTGGATCCCCCCCTCTCTTCCCCCTCTCCCCCCCCCCCCCCCGCCCGGCTCTGGGCTGGCACTGCAGTTGGGGACCAGGTCCCTTTCCCAGTCCGGGCATGCACGAAGGTTGCAGGGGTGGGGGGACAGGAGTGCTTGGCGTCCCGGCCCCCAATCCTGGGCTGGCAGGGCACAGAGGTAGCGGGGGGCGGGGGGACAGCCTTTACCTGCGTCCCGAGAACTGCGCTCCCCCGACGCTCCACGCGGCGCTGCCTCCCGGGAGCAGGAGCCCGAGGCAGAGCAGCGCCCAGGCCCGTGGGCCGCCCATGCTGCGCCCGGCGCCCTCCGCGCGCGGCCCCTCGCCGCCGCCGCCCCCAGCCTGCCGTCCGCGCCCGCCCGCGCCGCCAGCCGCCCCGGACGCGCGGATCCCGGTCCCCAGCGCAGCGGCGGGAGGGCGGGAGGGCGGGAGGGAGGCGGGCGCGGGGCGGGGGCGCGCGTCCCGGCCTCGGCCGGCCCCTCGGCTCAGCCCCCCGCCCCCTGCGCCGCCGCTGCCAACCCGGAAGGAACCCCGGGGGGCCGGGCGCCCCCGCCAGGAGGCCCGCCAGGTGCCCACCTGATCCTGGCGCTCGGCACCGCGTGGTCCTTTTGGGGGCGGGGTACCAGTGCGGAGATGCCCTCGCACATGTTGCAGGGCCGGGGGGGGGGGGGGGGGGGGCTGAGTCCTGGCCGCGGTCCCAGGCGCATCCAGGACCCCAGGTCGCCAAGCTTGAACGAATGATGCGGGAGCCTCTGACCCTTTTTCTTCCTCTTTCCTCTTTTTTTTCTTCTTTCCGATGTGTCTCTCTCCTCTCTCTCTCTCTCTCTCCCCACCCCCCTCCCCCTTCACTTTCTCTAAAAATCAATGGAAAAAATATCCTCGGGTGAGGATTAACAACAAAAAATGAAGAAACTGGTTGCCTCTTGCAGGCACCGGGAATCAAACCTGCAACCCAGGTGCATGCCCTTGACGGGAAATTGAACCCGAGGCCCTTCAGTGCCCACGCTCTAATCACTGAGCCGCGGCCAGGGCTCCTCCCTCTTTTTTGAGGGATCCAGTTCCCGAGGCTCTGGGGAGCCGGATCTGTCCATCCTGCAACCAAGGCTTCCTGAGCAGTGAGTGCCACCTCTGCTTCACATCCCACTTCGGTTTAATTTTCAAACCACGCTGGGAGAGGTGGGCACAGCTATCCCCCGTTTACAGAGGCGAAAACTGAGGCCGAGACGCTCATACTCCCCCTGGGAGGAGAAGACCTGGGTTGATCCCATTAGGTCAGTGTCCACTCATCGCCATATTACAGATGGAGGAGCTAGGTTTTGAACAGAGATCTGACTTCAGAGGGGGTCAGCTCTTCAGCACGATTAGGAAAGAATGCAGCCAGCACATTGGTCTGGGGCTCGGCTTCCCATCTGTGACAAGGTCAGGACTGGCTGAGAGTGGGGTTTCTTCATCTGGGGTTCATGGATGAGCGAGCCTCTGGGGAGAGGGCTGTGAATACCACCAAGGTGTATGCAAATGTGTGTGATGTGAGAGTATGTGTGTGTATGTGTGCATGCACGTGTGTGCACAGGCCTGATGGGTGTGTGTGTTTATGAAGAGAGACCACAGCTCTCATCAGAGGGGCCCAGACCCTCCAAAACTCCAGGACAGTCTAACCCCCTTCTGCCCGGACTGACGAGCTGCAGGCAGTCCTGGGCCGGGGAGCCCCCTGTCCAGCTTGGTGGTGACTGGGGGCCTGTCCCTCAGAATCCTGCTGTGGTTTGTCCAGATCCAAGATTTCTGCTAGAAACACACCAGCAGGAAGGATCTGCCAGTCCCTCCCTCTGATTTCCCAGGGCTGCCTCCTGGACTCACCAGGGCTGGTAGCACCAGGTACCGGGCCTGCGTCAGGACAAGGGAGGGTATGCGGATATGGAGGGAGCTGAGCCTGTGCCCTGAGGGCGTGGGTACGTAGTGAGAGCTGGGTTCAGACCCCGCCTCGGCCGCCTCTCCCCGAGTTAGCTTGGGTGAGCCCTGCCCTTCTCTGAGCCTCAGTTTCTCTCTGTGAGGAGGACAGTTGCAGGTTGCAGATGGGTGTGTGGGCAGATATCACGGTAGTGCCCTGATCCCACATTCTCCGGCTTCACATCGTCCCCCAAGGGCACCCACTTGCTTCAAGGACATCCTCACAGTGCCTGCTTTGGCCCCTGGGGAAGCTCCCTCCCTCCCTTCCACGTGTGAGTTTTGGGCACCTACTGTGTGCCACCTAACTGAACCCCAAGAAATGCAGCTTTGTGCCTCTCTGTAGCCCTTGTTTTTTTGTTTTGTTTTTGTTAATCCTCACCTGAGGATATTTTTTCCACTGATATTTTTAGAGAGAGTGGAAGGGAGGGAGGGAGAGAGAGAAATATTGATGAGATACATTGATTGGTTGCCTCCCACATGTGCCCCGACTGGGGCTGGGGATTGAACCTGCAATTCAGGTATGTGCCCCAGACGAGGAATTGAACCCAAGACCCTTTGCTGCATGGGTTGATGCTCCAACCACCGGGCCACACCCCGTTTTGGGCAGCCCGTTTTTGATACAACCAGATCAGTGACTTAGTCCCTTGGAGGAAGTGTCCTTCTCAAGGCGCCCTCTCCTCAGAGACTCCCAGGCCTGTCTTCAGCCTGGTCAAGTGACTGGGGTCAAAAACCATCTTTCCAAAGGGCACTTGGAGGGGCAGGCGGCTCCTGGGGAAGGAGAAGGGCTGGGCAGTGGCTTCTGTCCTGGGGCGGGAGGGTCTGGGAGGGCCTGCGAGGTGACTGGGACCGCTGCTGGGTACCACAGGATGAGGAGGCTCCCTGCCGGGCCTGCTTGCAACATGTTCAGGATCCTCCTGTGATTCATGGCGTACATGTTCCTTTACCCTCAAGCTCATGGGGGCTTCAGGCCACTGTGCAGTTTCTCCATCAAGGGACCCTCTCAGTGAAAGCTGTTGTCAACATTTGACATCAGAGGGGATCCTATCCTTGCTGAGGCTGGGACCCCTTTGTCCAGGGTATATATTTACGACTATAGCCACACCCCGTGATGGTGCAGCCTGGTGGTTACTGCACAGGCTCAACACCCCAGAGGCCTAGCTGTCACTTCCTCTGCGACCTGGGACAAGGGACCTCGCCAACTCTGAGCCTCAGGTCCTTGCCTGAAGAAAAAAAAAAAGTCCTAGGATCTTTTTTAAGATCCCTCTGGCTCGAGTCCGGGGAAAGTAGGAAGAAGGCTGTGGGTCTCCCCACGGGCACAGCCCAGAGCCCCCTTCCAAGGGCGACTTTCCTGGGGGATGTCAGCCTGTTTTCTGCTCCTCTTTCCTCCCTGGAGGAAGGGCAGGAAATGCCTCGGGGACCTGGGCCTTGGTCATTTGAGGTTTCAGAATTTGCTGAGACAGGGAGGAGAGGGCTCCCCCCCTCCCCAGCTTGAGGTCTCAGGCCTGTCCCTGTGGGCGGGGCCTCCTCCCTGGGGGCTGGTCCTCTCTGCTGCCAAGACCAGACCACAACCGCCAGTAAGGTCAGCAGCTTCCGGTCCTGAGCTTTGGCTGTGCCAGGCGCTGTGCTAAGCATTTTGCTTGCATTGTCTCCAGCCCTCCTTCCTCTCGGCCACTGGGGAGGGAGGGGCCACCTTATTATCCCCAGGTGTGGGGCTGGCCCTGGGCCCATAGCTGGTGACGGATGGCTACCCACTGAGCAACACTGCCTCCCTCTGGCTGAGCCCCTCAGAGGGACTTCTTTGGGGGTAAAAATGAGAACTCAACTCAGGTTTAGACTTCTGTCTGGGAGCTGATGAGGTGAGAGAGAACACATGGACCACACAGGGACGTGGACTCGGACACGCGTGCAGACACACACACACACCCTCCCCCAGCAGGCCTTCTGGTGTGGACTCACTGACACATCCACCCTGGCCTAGTCCAAACAGGAAATGCTGCTCTCCCCACAGCAAACAAACCTGGGGCACAGCCTCCTTCCTCCGTCACCTCCCACTGGGCCGCACCAAGTGCCTCTTTCCTCTGCCTGCGTCCCACAGGACAGCCTCCCCGCTCAGGGGCCCTCTTCAGCCCTGATCACACGCCAGTCTGTGGGCGCAGGCCCTCCACCTGATCTGTACCCATATCGTGCCCATTGTGTAGGCGAGGAAGCAGCCCAAGGGTGCTGGGTATTGCCAGAGTCCATGGTGCAGCCCCCGGGGACTCGAGCCTGTGGCAGTAGCCCCGATCTCACAAGAGGGAAGGCCCCGATGGTCTTCAAGGAAAGCGTCTGCCCAGACAAAGGGCTGGCCGGAGGGCGGGGCCTGCCCGGGCTTCAAGGTTGGGGAACAATGCCCGCTTTCTGTGCCTTTCATCTGGAGGCCTGGCCCTCCAGAGCAGGGGACACCCTGTGGGGCCACAGCAGGGGAGCTGGGGGGTCCCAGAGAGCCTGCAGCTGCCGGGCCAAGTTATTTATGCTCCATGGAGCTGCCCTTCTCACCCAGCTCATTCCTTCCTGCCGGAGCTGGGACTGGGGCTGGAAGGGAGTGATGGGAGGAAGGAAGCTGCCAGAAAATCATAAATTAGGGCTCTGAGAGGCCTTCCTGCCCTCCTTGGGAATCCTCGGGGGAGAGGCCTGCACTTTTGGGGTTGGGGGAGGACAGGGCAGGGCACAGCAGGCGTGGCAGGACAGGGTGCCTGTGTTTGGAGTTAGGAGACTGCGATATTCAGTGTGCTCTAGAGCAGCGGTCACCAACTGGTGGTTCGAGGACCACGGGTGGCCCGTGAGGTCTGAAAGGTTGGCGGCGGCTGCTCTAGAGGGAGTCCCTTTTCTCAGGCCTCAGTCCCCCCCATCTGGAGAATGGGGTGATACAAGACTTGGGGTCTCTCCTGTGAAGGAATGGACAAATGAGAGGCCTTCTCCTTAAGGTTTGTCCCACTTCCCTTCCTCTGCTCCCTTCCCCCAAGTCCCCTCCTTTCTGTCCCACTTACCTTTGTTGGGGCCCCTCACCCCTCACTCTGCGTCTCTTTCCACACCTCTCCTCCTGCAAAAATGGGCCAGTGAAGTCTCCTTAGGCAGCATCCACCTGGCTGGGGGGTAGCGGGGAGAAGCTGTTGGCTCATTCAGACCAAAGTGACTGATGTTTAATGTTGTTAAATGTTGGGCTGCAGTTACTAGGGATTCTTCTTCATTTAATCCCGAAGTCACTGGTAGTGGAACTTCTAGTCTGGTAAGGGGGATGCTTGGTGGGCAAGGGTCTAGGAACAGGGTCTGCCAAGTGAGAGGACCTTCTGGGTGGGCGGCCAAAAGTCCCCATGGGTTAGACGGATCTGGCAGGTGTGAAGGGCAGGCAAGAGGAGCCACTCAGAGCAGACACGTTGGAGCAGCCCACCAGCCCTCCCCATGCTAGGGCGGGGTGCTGCTGGACCAGGAGCACGTGGGCCTATCCCTCCTGACACCCCAAATGGTTTCCACCTCTGAGGAAGTGATTATGAGGGGGAAGAGGAGAATGAGAGGAGTCAGGGAGAGACACAGAGAGAGAGACTCAGAAAGAGAAAGAGCCAGCAAGCCAGAGACATGGGCCAGGGAGATGGAAAAGAGATGGGCAGGCAGACATCGACAGAAGGGCATTTTGGGAAAAGGACCCCAGGTTGTGGTCTCAGCCCCTGTGGGAGCTGGGCAGAGGGGCAGGCCCAGGGTGCCAGCCCAGCACCACCCCAAGGGCCTCATCCATCCCTCTGCACCCTATGAGCTCTGGCCTCCCTCAGACCTGCACCCCACAGCCCCAAGGATGGGACGCCGTCCTTCCTCCATCTCCCGCCCATGCCTGGCACTGGCTGACCAATGGGCCGTGAGCCGCCTGCAGCTGGTATACATTATGAACGACAGCCCTGTTTGCAGACGGAGCCACTGGAGAAATGGATTCCTAGCCTGGAGCGTGGCCCGAGGACTCTAAGTGGATGGACAGCCTTATGGGGGATGTGCATTCTTCAAGCACCTGGACTCCAGGCCCTCCCGCCCAGCCCTGTGGGGCCAGGCCTGGATCCTCTCCATCTGCCCATTCCTTGGCTCCATCCCACCCAGCCTCCACCCCCTTGTGGGATGTGCCTTGGTCTCCTCCAGTGGCCTCTCACCTCCTCTTGGATCCTTCCAGTCCTTCAGGATCTTCCCAAAGGCAACAGAGCCAAGTAACCCTGTGAGGGAAAACTTCAGTCTCTGCTGCTCTCTGGCTGAGAACTGAAAGTGGCCTGGCCTGCTCCTCCTCCCTCTGTCCCGGACCCTGTGTCCTCCAATTGGCCTTGGGCCTTTCCCATCCTATCCCCTCTGCCTGCCAATGCCACTCACCCTTCAGTCTCAACTCAGACATCACCCCTTCCCTGCCTCTAGGAAGGTGCCCCACATCCCCAAGACTGGGCCACGTGTGTACTGGGCTTCCCCACTCACAGCGTTCTATGCTAGAGTCATCTGTTGATTTGTCTAGTTCCCCTGATAGATCATAAGTAGGTATAGATGCTGGGCCCTTTTTGGAAAATTTCTATGAGTTTTAGGAAAGATACATACACCAGAAGCCATAAAAGATACATTTGGATACATAAATTTTTCTTTTTTAATCCTCACCGAGGATATTTTTCCATTGATTTTTAGAGAGAGTGGAAGGGAGAGGGAGAGATAGAGAGAGAGAAACATCAATGTTAGACACATTGATTGGTTGTCTCCTGCACATGCCCCTATCAGGGCCAGGGATTGAGCCTGCAACCGAGGTATGTGCCCTTGACCGGAATCAAACCTGGGACCCTTCAGTCCTCGGGCTTCCCCTCTCTGAGCCTCCGTGTTCTCACCTGGAGAATGGGGATAGCAGCCTTTGTCTCAGAGCAGCTGGCTATGAGGAACATTTAAATGAGCTCCTTGCACATAATGCTCAGAAAAAAGTACCCATGTTGAATCCAAAGAATGTTACATATAGTTGGCAGAATGAGAAATCTTGGCAGCCTGGGGATCTGAGGCCTGGTACTGACAAAAGGGTTGGTCTTTGGTGAGTTGAATATTGAGCAAGGATCTGGGAGTTCCTAAAGGCCCTTTGCTACTACTAATTGTTGCCTGAAATGCTGTTGGCCAACCTCTTGGGATAAAGTAAAGAAAATACCTGTTTAAATTCAAAACTCTTCTTTAGGAGGTTATTGTACTTACGCAAGACTAGACAGAACCGTGCATTTACTGTCATTTTTGGCTTTGCTGGCTCAGGGCATGTCTTTTTTCCTAGGCACTCTGCCTGCAATTAAGAATCTTCACCGCCAGGTGGCGTCTTGAGTTTGTATCGCAAAGAAACGAGACTTTTTTTTTGGCGTGGGGAGGGCTCCTCTGATCCACACCGAGAAGCTGCCTTTTGAGAAGAACAAAGGAGGATGCAGAGCCTTCAGACTGGTGGAAAGGGGTGCTGTGCGCAGTTAGCCATGTCTGCCCAGGGTGGATGAGTAGAAACTAGCGGATTCTGGGCCCGGCAGCCAGCCACGTGCTTCTGAGCAGACAAGTATGCATTTCTATGTGATGGTACTTTTTCGAGTAAGTAGGACTCTTTTAAAACAGCCGAGCATTGCCCTGGCCGGGTAGCTCAGTTCGTGAGAGCATCATCCTGACACGCCAAGGTTGCGGGTTGATCCCCAGGACAAGGCACATAGAAGAAGAATTAACCAACGGATGCATACATAAGTGGAACGATAAAACTGATGTTTCTCTCTCCCTCTCTTTCTCCCTCTCTCTAAAATCAATGAATAAAATTTTTAAAAAACCTGCCCACTTGAGCACAAATATTAGAATTACTAATTACTGTTGGAGAAGGGATGCTTCTAAGAATTATTTTTGTAATAAAGAGCATGTAATTTGGGAATGGATAGGCAGCAAGATCCTTAAGAAAGCAAACACAAATGCTTAAGAAAACCAACTGCCTTTCTTCCTAGTCATGAATGGTTAAGAATTTCTGGTTTTTTCCCCCCACAACAGTCTTAAAAAGAGAAACCCGTAATACCTTTTATTTGTTTTTACCGGCTTTTCCCTATGTGTGTTCCCAAGCAACTCTCGTTCTTCAGTTGAGATCTCAGGTCTGTGGCTGTCTGCTCGCTCGGCCTCTGTCTCAGGGAGCCCGTACTTGGAAGAAACTATAAAGGAGAAGAGAGCCTTTTGGGCTGCATTCTTCTTAAGAATTGCTGCGTTTCATAAAATCATCCTTTTTCATCAGTAATCCCTCAAAGGCTTCTTAGACTCTTTCTAGTGGTAAAACATTATAATAATATACTATCATTAACATTTTTTCTAAAAGAAATCACTTGTAATCCATTAACCTTGATCTAATGATTCCCTAGGTTTCTGTTTGGGGTTTTTGCCTTCTTTCTATCTAGTGCTTTTTTTTTTTGCCAAAAAAAGAAAGAGAGGTTCTACCCCCTTGAAAATCTTTCCCCACCTCCAGGCACCTGAAAATCCTCCTTTCTCTGACTTAGCTGTTTGTTCTTTGAAGTCAAAGCTGCTTTCATTTCTAATCTGCACTGAATGGTTCTTTATTGATAGTCACAGAGGGATCAGAGAGAGCCAGACCTAGGCTGCCTTCTGCAAGGGCAGGGAGTTGTCACAGTTTCTGCACACACCGATGCCTGTCAGTAAACACGTGCAAAGAGACGGTTACGGGGCCAGATGCCAGATAATCTTTGTTGGTAGGAATTATGGGTGTGTCTGTATTTTCTCGTTTGTAATTTGTCACTTTGGGGACCTCTAATGTATCACATTTGTAACTTAAAATAGAACGTATTTTTAATTAAAAAAAAACCACACTCACCACTCTGAGGTATATACCCAAGAGAAGTAAACACATATATTCACACAAAAGCTTGCACGTGAATTTCAACACAGAGAGGCAGGCCGGGGAACACGCAAAGACGCCAGAGCTAGGAGAGACCGTGGGACCCATGGGCCCTCACCGCCCTCCGACAAAACCAATCCAGCCGACACCTTAATTTCAGGCTCCAGCCTCCCAGACTGTGAGATAATTCCTTCCTTCCTTCCCTCCTCCTTTCCTTTCTTTCCTTCCTTCCTTCCTTCCTTCCTTCCTTCCTTCCTTCCTTCCTTCCTTCCTTCCTTCCTTCCTCCCTCCCTCCCTCCTCCCTCCCTCTCTCCCTCCCTCCCTTCTTTCCTTCCTTCCTTTTTAAATCCTCACCCGAGGATTTTTTCCATCAATTTTTAGAGAGAGTGGAAGAGAGGAGGAAAGACAGAGAGAAACATCGATATGAGAGAAGCACATTGATTGGTTGCCTCCTGCATGAGCCTTGACCAGGGCCAGAGCCGGGGAGGAGCCTGCAACTGAGGTACATGCCCTTGACCCGAATTGAACCCAGGACCCTTTGGTCCGCAGGCCAATGCTCTATCCACTGAACCACACCAACCAGGGCGAGGCAATGCATTTCTGTTATTTAAACCACTAAGTTTGTGTTCCATTGTTATGGCAGCCCCACAGCACTGATATGGGCAGGAATAAGATGAGTCTCACCATGTGAGGAAACTGGGCATTCCAGGGCCTGCGGGGACCCCTGGGGGCTGGTGCCACCCCTCCCCTGCCCCCAGCGGTCATTGTCAAGGCCTGTGGCCGGGCTTGGCTGCCTCTCTGTCCCCCACTGCTCCAGCAGGAGGGCGCCAGACACTTCCAGGACAGAAGTCTGGGATGCATTTGGAAATCCTGGCAGAGAGGTTTCAAGTTTAGCTCCATCTTGGTCAGCGGGGGAACCGCCATCTGGTTCCTGTTTGCTGTCCCTTGGCAGGGAAATCTGAGCAGAATTGTGGAAAATGGTCAGGGAGGGGATGGCTCCCTCTGGGGCCTGGGCCCCGAGTAGGGAGACAGCAGGCCCTGAGTTGGGCCCTGGCCCAGCCACTAACTTGCTGGTGACATCAGGCTGCTCATGTCACCTCCCTCATCTTGGTTTCCTCACCTATAAATGGAGACAATAGTCGAATTTATCTCCAAATGTTGCTGCCAGGACTCAGTGAGATAATGCGAATAGGGGGATGCTTGATGAAGGCAAACTTTATGTAATTTGTATTATTTTTTTAAAAAGTTGATTTGAGAGAGAGAGAGAAAGAAAGAGAGAGAGAGAGAGAGAGAGAGAGAGAGAGAGAGAGAGACATCAATTTGTTATTCCAGTTAACTGTGCATTCACTGGTTGGTTCCTGTATGTGCCCTGACTGGGGATCAAACCCAAAACCTTGGCGTATCAGGATGACACTCCAACCAACTGAGCTACCGGGCCAGGGCCTAATTTTTATTATTTTTTAAAAAAAATTGTGGTAAACTATACATAACACTAAATTTACCATGTTAACCATTTTAAAGTGCGCAATTCCGTGGCAATAAGTACATTCACATTGTTGTGGAATAGCACCTCCACCCAGTCATCTCCAGAACTCTTTCCTCATGCAAAACTGAAACTCTGTCCCCATTTAACACTAACTCCCCCCCGCCTCCGCCCCAGACCCTGGCAACCACCATCTCACTTGCTGTCTCTATGAATAGGACCACTCTAGTTCCCTCATAGAAGTGGAATCATGCAATATTTGTTCTTTTGTGACTGGCTTGTTTCACTTAGCATGGTGTCCTCGAGGCTCATGCATGTTGTAATATTTCAGAACTTCCTTTAGGTTTTTTTTTTTTTGAAAAATGTGAACTATATTATTAGCTGCTTTGTGCTGTGGAGAGCTCCCAGTCACCTTGGATGGAGGTACTGAGCAGCCACAAATGTTTTGAGTATAAACCTGTGTGAACTAAAAAGGGGGAGTGGCTAAAGTGGCTGATTTGGAGTGGCTCAGCCAATGGCTGACAGGGCCGCCGGAAATCTCCCCTCCTTGTTTACATCTGAGTTCAGGTCCTGCGCTAAGTGCAGCCAGGCTGGAACCTGCCTGAGAAAACCCTGAGGTTCCCACATATGGGAAGGAGCCCCTGGCCCCTGAGTCACTCTCTGCTTCCCACACAGCTGGGCTTCCACGCTCCTCCAACCTCCTGGCTTCCCAGGGCCCAGCGGAGCCTTATTTCGTGGATACCAACCCCAGATGGAATGGTCCTTGGGTGGATGGTGGACTCAAAGGCCTTGGGGGTCATCCTTCTGCACAGCGACCTCTGCTGTCCAGGGAGATGGGGACGCAGTGGGAGGTGGGGCCAAACCTGGGGCCTGGCGGTCAGGTAGATGGGGGCCACCCACTGGCCTGCGCAGGGCGATTCACCTTCCTTCAGCTGCAGTGTTCTCACCCGTCAACTAGAGAGAACTGTGGCCGCCTGACGGGGTGGGCGAGGGTTCAGGGGGGCGATGTACAATGTCCAGCTTGCACCTGGGGGTTAGGAGTAAATGGTTCGGTTAGCAGTGGGAGGGAGGACAGCTGCCCGGAAGCCCCTGGATTTTTTTTTTTTTTATGGATCAGCTCACTTTCTAGTCACGAGCCTCTTCTAGAAGTTGCACACAGATAAAAGGTCCCAGTTAATGAGGATACTGGTTAAAGTTTTAAAATGCACAGCAAGCCCACTCCGCATAATGATGTATCGGAAACACAACAATCCTTTAATCTAGAGGGAATTAATTGCCGGGCCTAGAAATTCAGGGCACGCGGACAGAATCCTTAATTTTCTTGAGCTGATGGTTTCAAAAAGCGCCTGATTCTAGACGGGCTTTTCTCTGCGCATAAGACTCCCACAGTTCTGACAAAGGGTGAGATTGTCTGGATGCCTTGCTCGGTTAGAATCGTGTACGTGGGGTCTGAATTAATGTCGGCTCTGAGTTCTGCCTGCTGGGTGGAACGTGGCCGACTTGGATCCCCAGGAGACTCAATGCGGGCTCTGTGGCCCCGGCATCCCCGACGCTGCGCAGGGAATGTCCTCACACGTCCCACGCAAGTTTGCTGAGCCCACGTGGAGCCCGAGCTCAGGTTCGGTGTTGACGAGGCAGGAACAGGCACGGCCAGCCAGGAAGACAGAGCAGAGATAAACCCTCAGGCAGACAGCAGTGACTGCACATTGTGATAGGGAAATGATGGGAGGAATGAGGCAGGGTAGATGAAAGAGAGCAGCATGGACCTGACTTATTTATGGATAAATATATTTTTATTGGTTTCCGAGTAAGGGAGAGGGGGAGAGAGGTAGAAACATCAATGATGAGAGAGAATTGAAGGTGGGTGGTAAGGTGGGGATGCCGGAGACCCCTGCCATGTCACTGTTGAGAAAATAGAGTTAATGAATTTGGGGTATTTACTAGGTGTACTGGTTACTAATGCGGATTTTTTTCAAGCAATGGAGTTACACGTATGTTGATATATATGTGATTTGATATGTATGCTACTTTGTTGTATTGACAACAAGCTTCAAAACTTCATATGTCAAATTTTCTGAAGATGTTAACATCATGGATATTTTTACGCTTAAAAATGTCTAATTTCGTGCCCCCCCCCCAAAAGAGCATTTGCGGGAAGTTTAAATTCATTACTTTATTTTGAGGAAAAGTGCTGCTGAAAGTTATCGTATACTTTGGGAAGCTTATGGTGAACATGCTCCATCTCAAGAAACCTGTGAACGCTGGTTTAAACGCTTGAAAAGTGATGATTTCGATGTGAAAGACAAAGAAC